TGATGGAAGGCTTACACATACATAATCATTTTCAGTTAATGCATGTTATTACTATTCATATAAATAATTAGCTATAGTTCTGAATTTGTGAGCAATATTTTCCTTTTTGCATCTACAGCAGGACTTTAAATTAAATTATTTATTTGCTTTGATAAGAGTTATTGTTATGTAGGTCATATAATTCACTATGGTGCTTTTCAATTCTTATTGTTGCAAATACCAAGATCACCGGTTGCAATTATTGCTAAACTAGGAATTAAACAAGCCTTTGTTGCAGACTTCCTTAATTTTGACCCAACAGAAATCAAGATACTCTAATTAAATACCTTTTTCATCACTCAATAAATAATATGAGTATTCTGTCACCACAAAAATAGTATAATGTACTATTGATGAACAAGTTATCGTGTTTTCTAAATTACTCTTTACCTTTTATGACTATATATATCATCATAACTGAAATTATTAATCGGGAATTGCCTCTAATATTTGTTATGCCATTACTTTTCCTCAATATTTGGTGTTTTAAAGTAATAGATTTTCTTTTTGTGTCTAAATAGTAGATCCTAGTTTTGTGTTTAGTTACAAATACAACTATTTTTATACTTACTTGTTAGGTGTCAATCTTAATATAAACTTTAAACCCTAAACCTAAAAAACCTTAAACTTTATTACATAACTTTATTTTACTTCTGAGACAAAGTGCGGGCTTTCATCTAGTGTTAAATAAAAGTAAAAGATATATGAAATAGTTTATTATTTTAATTTTAAATTGATGTCTTTAATGATTGTTGTCTGTTTTATTTCATTATCACTATTTTTATAATCAAATAAATTATCAGTGAATAAAAAATAGATAATTATATAAATCATTAAGTAAATAAATATTTATTATTTTATTTTGAGATGTATAAATATACTAATCTAAATATGTTTATTTTATCTTTATATTTAATTTTTAGTTTATTTTTTAATGAAGTAATTTATAATTTTTATGTGCTAATATATATACGTGTGCTATATGATTAATATTGACTACAAAATTTTACTAACTTTTCTAATTGTTAATAAGTTGTTATCGTGAACATATTTGATTTCAAATACCATAGTGAATGATTACTATCATGAAGAAAATAGGACATGGTATGTAAGGGAATGTCCAAACAAATATGGATGGCTTACACAAATAAGTCTTGCATGGGATTAACAATTTCTAAATTTCAATTATTCCAATACCAAATGAAATTCAATTATCTTATGCATATAAATGAAAACAAAATTTTAATTCATTATCTAAATTATAAATGTATTGATTTCTTAAATATTATTATAAGTAACAAGAATCATGCTAATTGATTTGCTTGGTCATTTCTTTTGAAAATTCAAAACAAAATTGAAGTTCATATTAATCACTTAACATACAATCTCCATCAATTACCTTTAACTAAATTAATTGGTATCTTTTAAGTTTAAGAAATGCAATAAAAATGTGTTGGCATTCAATGGAGTAAATTGAACAATAGAGATAGTAAATTATTGTATTACTCGAGATTTGTTATTTACTGATTAATAGGCCTTGATAGTTTGAAAAAATGGATCCAATAATAATCAATTATGTTAATAGGCCCAAAGTTTTTAAGAGTAAATTTAGTTTTTAAAAATTAAAGTAAAATCAAGTTTTCATATAGTGTTAGTATTGATCAAATCGAGTGTTATTAACAAAGCAAAATTAAATAAGGATTTAAATCTTTCAAGATTTTAAAAGTTAAGAATTAATTTATCTAAATAATTTATATAGTAAATATAATATTATAATCATTTCCTTATAAATAGCCAATGTTTTTTACTGTTATGAATAAATTACAATTTAAGTTACAATTAAAATTTAATTTTTCATTATTGTTTACGCTAAATTTATCAAAATTAAATTCCATTCTTAACTTTTTAACATTCAACATTGACACTACATGAGAATAGGAGTTTACTTTGATATATTTAATAATTAATACTAAAAAAAATTTAAATTTAAATTATTATCGGAAGACTAAATTTTAATTTTATATATTGTCTTTCTAATATTACAATACTACATTAAATGAAAGATTTCTTTTCTATCTCATGAGAAAAGCATTCTGTGTTACTTCCAATTAATTAATTCATATAAAAGATATATTTTAAAGAGTTATTATCTATCAACTATTTGACATTTGAACAAAAACTTATAAAATTTGAAAATTAAATAGTTATTAAATTAATAACTATATGCTTTTTATAAAAAAAATTATTAATTTCATTATCTTATTTATTTAAATTTTTTCCTACATTAAATTAGTACTATGTACTCTTGATTTGATTTTTATATTATCTAGTGTTTTATATTTATAATCTAACCTCAAATATAATCTTAAAATATATGTTAAAATATATGTACATATCAACAAGAAAAAGTGTTATGTAATAAATGTGTTTGCTAATAAAATCTTTTAATTTTATTATTTAATAATTAATTGACAAAGATAAATATAAGTGATTTCACTACAATTAAATTATTAGATTTTTTTTAACATATAAAAATAAAATTTTAAAAATTAATTTTAACATATGTTTTCTAGATTATAAATTCTTTTAACGTTTTTGTTTGATTGATGAATTCATAAAAATTAAAATAACTTATTTTAAAATGAGTGATTGTCCAATCATGAATTAATGTTATATTTTTATGTTCTTTATCACACATTTTACACTAAAATCCAAGTCTCTTCTTTTAATTTTATGTTACCAAACCTAATAAATAGGTTGTTAGAAAAATAAAAATAAAATATGCTTTTCAATTTTAAATGAAATTTTGTATGGAAAATTTTTTATATTTTGATTTCAGATTGAAATAAATACAAAATAGCATATAAATTTAATTTAAAAAATATAATATTATCATATTAAATTTAATTAATTAAAATAATTTTATAAAAAGATAAAAATCTCGTGCATCACAAGGATCACAAACTGATTTATATAATATATGAAAATAAATCTAATTTACTTATATATTTATATACAATAAATATGTATTTTATTTTTACTTAAATCAAAACTACGTAATTTTGATTTATTGCTTTACAAACAAAAGCCATAGAACAGAGGTAGAAATGAAATTAGGACAGGGTTTTGTGTCTCACGAAATGAAATGGTGTGTTTCATTTCATTTCCAAAAGTTAGTTCCAAAAGTTACGTAGTAGCATGAAAGTTTCGTGTAAGCTAAACTATTTCCATCCTCAAATATGAGATGACAGCTGATGCTAGACTGATGTGGAAGGCACACTCATTCATTTATTATTAGTCAAAAGGAACAAGATACCAAAGCTGATTGTGAAGGGCATGTATTTGAAGAGTTGAACCAGCATTCCCATTCGCCAAATGAAAATAATGATGGTAATATAAGGGCTTGAAACTAAATGAAATATGGCTAAATTTCATGGATCACAAAAACAGGAATAAATTCGTTAAGAACTGACTGAAAATAAAAGAAGTTACATTTATTGAAATTTGAATCATCACTCATGAACTACGCTATCACCAATTGCGTAACCTACTTTGTCAATCAAATCAGAAGCATAAACTTGGGAACGATTGGTTGAGAATGATAATACTTTCTTAAATAGTGCCAAGCATAACTTTCTCTTCTAAATGTATTTTATGCATATCGCATTCGTGAAGGCAAAGAGTACGAGGAGAGAATCCAAAAAAATTAAGATCAAAATAAAAAATATATACTTGAGAAAGCCTAAACATTCGTTCGGATGGTCTATCCTACCAATCAAAATCTTCATTTTTGTCAAAAAAGTGAAAAATCAAATAATTCACAACACAGGCACAAAAAATATTATAAAAAATATATTTTTTATTTTTTATTAACATAAATTATAACTCATAATTTTATATAAAATATAATATTAATATATAAATTTTCATTAATTTATGTGACGTAAGTATTTAAATTATCAAATTTACTTATAATAACGAACAAACACTTTTCTAAAATATATAATTTTTACTTGTGAGGGAGTATTCAAATCTTTATTTTTATTGGTAAGGGAAAGTATCAACATCAAAGAAATGGAAACTTGGAATCTCGTGATTTCATTTTGATTCCTTAGAGAACCCAAACGATCATCTTCCCAAATATTGCATTTCTTTCCTTTTTTTTTTTTTTTTCATCCATCATTAATTTACAAATAAAAATAATAAACAACTCTTTTAAAATTAGAAGAAAATTTAACTTATACAGTATAATTTATTTTGAATTTTATATATTTTATATATTTGATTTTAATAAATTTAAAAAATGATGGAGACAAATAAAAATAAAATAATAATTTATTTTTATTTTTTAAATTTATTAAAATTAATAATTAAAAATATGTAAAATTAAAAAAATTACAATATACAAATTAATCCTTTCTCTCAAAATTATATAATTTTTAGTAATAAAAATTAATAGATCCATACCATATTTTCCATATAATTATCAATAAATTTAAATAAAATTAGAGTTTTAAAACGTCACATCTCAAATTTCAGACAACATAGAAGAATAGTTATGAAAGTCTATTGTCTCATCTCTTCAAAGTGGTCAAATATTAAATAATTTTTTTTAAAATTTAATTAATTTATATAATTATTTTTGAAATATAATATCTACTCGTTTTAAATTTTAAATCTTATAAATATTTTTTTATTTGCAAACCGTATGGAATCTTTTATTTTTAAAAAAAAGGTTCGAACATTTTGTCAGCTTAAATGGATAGATTTTGCATTCTTAGTCATCAGCATGTCAAGCTGTCTGTCCTTTTTAATGGCCTACTTGTCCTATTAATCTTCCTTAAATTAAACTAAAGGTTTAATTTGAGTTTTACTGCACCGAAATTACCAAGTTACAGCGTGTAAATAATTTAAATTTACATCTTTTTTTTGCCTATATATTCCCATCTTGCTCCGACATTTTTTCATAAATTTTTCTTACAGACAAAACTAATTAAAATCTCGAGTGTCCTGTCCTCCCTTCTATGGCAACAAGGCTTCTCTCACCAAAGCTCCTCAACAACCTCCGCTCCTTCACCAGGCCTCTTAACTCTACCTCCTCCGCCTCCATCACCGCCGTCTCACCCCTAAATTTCGACGAAAAACCTGAACCCGCCGTCGCCCTCGAGAAGCAGCCAACCCATAATCAACCTTTTACCACAAATCTTGACCTTGATGATCACCAAAAGCTTTTCGCTTCAGTTTCTACCTTCAAGCTTTTACGTTCAGCAGCCAACCTTGGGTTGGCCGCTAATGAGCCTTTTGTCGATTTTGGCATGTGGGTTATGAATTCCAGGTTCATGGAAACAAGTTTGATACGTGATATTATATTGAAAACCGTAAAACATACGTTCTTTGAACATTTTTGTGCCGGTGAAACTATGGAGGAGGCTGGGGATTGTATAAGGAAAATCCACCAGGCTGGTTTGAGAGGGATGCTTGTTTATGCCGTTGAGCATACAAGCGATAACAGAGGTTGTGATCGGAATTTGGAAGGTTTTCTTAGGAGTGTTGAATTCGCCAAGTCGCTTCCGCCTTCTTCTGTAAGTTCTAGTTTCATTGGCCATAACCAACTTTCTTGACCTGGTCAAGTTTTCATTTTCTTTTTTTCGTTTTTCAACATAATAATTTCCAGAAAATACAAAAAAAAAAAACCTTGAATTCAATGGTCAAGCCTATAATTTGAGTTTTGAGCTATTTAAATGGAGATTAATACTCTCCCAACACGTAAACCTCAAATTCTAATATCTTCCCCCTTAAAATTCTCTGTTTTGTTGATGTATCCTCACGTGATCTTTATTTGGTGGAGGTGGTCTGGCACAAATACTGGTAATGGAAGGTTGTAGTCAAGGATAGGATAGTCATGAATTCGATTTAACTCGATAAGTTCATATAATTATTTTTAAAAAATAATATTTAATAAATTTTATATTTAAATTTATTGTTTGTTAACGTATTTACAATTCATTATTTTATGTTCAAGTTGCGACTTCATCCGTAAATATATATATATATATATAAAAGGATAGTCATTATAATTTTTCAGCATTTTATAAGAAGTATATATGTTGAAGCAATCTAATTGAATGTTCTTTTTTTGTGGCACGCCGGGGAAAAGATTCCAACAATTAAGGAATGGGAATGTTCAATGATTCTCTAGGAATCCATCTTGAGTTTAAAATTTAGGAATTGAACTTTCATTGGAATGTCTCTGTCACCGTTAGCTTTCCAGCTAGATTCCAGCTGGGAAAAGTTCGGAGATTTGTAAACCGTGTTGAAGGAAAACTGTAGACAAATTTCAGCAGCCGCCATATCCTTGTTGAAGAGTTGCAAGGATTAGAAGGAATGGCTTAAATAAGTTTCTGTTGTTCTTATCCTGCTGGAAACATAGGATTGATTATAATTCTCTTCCTTAATCTCCACAAGAAAGTTCCAAGAAAGCCACTTGAAAATGAATGTCTTTGTTCACTTGTATGATATAATTGGTTAGACAAGTAAAACACCCTTGGTCTAAAGAACTGAATACAACTTCTGGTAAACTTTAGTAAAGTTTTGTACTGAACAAGATCTTCCTTTTGTTTTTCTCTTTTTCCTGATTCTACAGGTGAGCTTTGTCATAGCAAAGATTACAGCAATATGCCCCATCCGACTGCTCAGGAGAGTTAGTGACTTGCTGAGGTGGCAATACAAGGACCCTTTTTTCAATCTTCCATGGAAACTCAACACTTTTCCAATTTTCTCAGACTCCAGTGCTCTATATCACACACTCGAAAAGCCTGAACCACTAACTCCACAAGAAGAGTTAGATCTTCAATTGGCCCACCAGAGACTTCTAAAACTCTGCCAAAAGTGTGTAGAAGATAATGTGCCTTTAACAATTGATGCTGAGGACACATCACTACAACCTGCCATTGATTACTTTACATACTCTTCAGCAATCATGTACAACCGAGATGATAATCCCATTGTTTACGGGACAATTCAAGCATACTTGAAAGACGCAAAAGAGAGGTTGTTTATTGTAGCAAAAACTGCAAGAAATCTGGGAATTCCAATGGGTTTCAAACTAGTAAGGGGTGCTTATATGTCTAGTGAAACGAAATTAGCTTCTTCCTTAGGCTACGATTCCCCAATTCACAACAGCATTCAGGAGACACATGCATGCTACAATGCTTGTGCTTCTTTTCTGCTTGAGAGAATTGCTGATGGCTATGGTGCAGTTGTTCTTGCAACTCATAATGTTGAGTCAGGTACGGTATTAACTCTAAACTTTCATTCCCGATAATGTCTAATGCTATTGCTAGACAAGATTTCGCAAGACAGGTTTGATGACTAAAATGCCAATGATCAACAGGGCAACTAGCAGCATCGAAAGCACGCGATCTAGGGATCCAGAAGGGAAATCAAAAGCTTGAATTTGCACAGCTATATGGAATGTCAGAAGCACTTTCTTTTGGTTTGAGAAATGCAGGGTTTCAAGTTAGCAAGTATTTACCATATGGACCTGTAGATGTGGTAATGCCATACCTTCTAAGGAGGGCTGAAGAGAATAGAGGACTACTATCCACTTCAAGGCTTGATAGAGCACTCATGGGGTAAAATCTTTTTAAGTTTTTAAGAGCAAAGGTTCAATGTAACAGTAAAGCGAAATGAGACTGATCACTCTTTTCCTTTTCCCTATCTTTGTTTTGTGCAGGAAGGAGTTGAAGAGAAGACTAAAGAACTTGCAATTTGCCAAGTCAGAGATGGCATCTGCATCTCCGAGTAGCATGAAGGTAGAAATAGGCACACAGTGAAAGCTTTAACCTGGTGGCTCAACAATGGCTGTTGGGGATGCTATATTGATCTTATCAGAAGGCAATTTCTGCCAAGAATGTAGAAAAATAAACCAGAAATATTTGTAACCTTGGCGGACCGCCCATATAAATGAAATTTCATATCTCTAATCTCATATCAATGCCATTCCACGAGTTTGTTGACAAATTTTTATAGGAATTAATTCTCAAATATCATATGAAAATGTCATCATTCTTATCAGTGGCTTTCAGCTTAACAGTCAACATAATTCAAAGTCCATCAACCCCATCAAACTGAAACAAAAATGCCATCACTTTCAACCTTCAAGAAATCACAAGTTCTATTATAAATCCTTTTTTCCAATGCTATCTGAATCGGTCGGTAGGCTCAAATCCATATAATAATGTTAGTTCCAAAAGTTATGTAGTAGCATGAAAGTTTCGTGTAAGCTAAACTATTTCCATCTTCAAATAAGAGATGACAGCTGATGCTAGACTGATGTGGAAGGCACACCCATTCATTTATTATTAGTCAAAAGGAACAAGATACCAAAGCTGATTATGAAGGGCATGTATTTGAAGAGTTGAACCAGCATTCTCATTCACCAAATGAAAATAATGATGGTAATATAAGGGCTTGAAACTAAATGAAATGTGGCTAAATTTCATGGATCACAAAAACAGGAATAAATTCGTTAAGAACTGACTGAAGATAAAAAAAGTTACATATATTGAAATTTGAATCATCACTTATGAACTACGCTATCACCAATTGCATAACCTACTTTGTCAATCAAATCAGAAGCATAAAACTTGGGAAAGATTGGTTGAGAATAATAATACTTTCTTAAATAGTGCCAAGCATAACTTTCTCTTCTAAATGTATTTTATGCATATCGCGTGAAGGCAAAGAGTACGAGGAGAGAATCCAAAAAAATTAAGATCAAAATTGCAAGTGCATATCAAAGTCAAAGCCAAGTGGGAGTCCTAATCAATTGGGAAACTACTAGTGTGGTTATGACTAGTAGTGTACGGCAATTCCTCACAGGAAAATGACACTGCACTATGGCAATCAACCACTCGCTAATGGATGGACTGAACAAAAAGGCTGTTAAAGATTCTACTTTAGTTGATTCAGATTCCCTTTTGTGAAAGAGATTGCTAAAAATAATATAAAAGGGAGATGAATGAGACCTTGAGAAAGGTGTTTCACATGGAAAACGAATTCAAGCTCCTTGTAAGTGGAATCTTAAAGTGAATATAGAATACTTGACATATGTATGGTAACTAAAGATGATAATAAAACCAAACTCTAAAACTCGCCAAAATAACTCAAATCAAATTCAAACCCAAATTAAATAAAAAGTTAAAGACCCAAACCTGAGTAAATCCCAACCCACCTAAACCTAAAATGATCCTAACTTGAAATGAGTTGAATCTAAAATTATCTGAGATCAATGCAGTCAAAAACCGTAATAATTTGAACTTAATACTAAAAATGAAATTTTATTTATCAATTTATTCTAACTTGAACCTAAATCAGACCCAAACTCAAACAATCAAACCAAATATTGTGTGAAATTGAAATGACCCAAACCAAAGATGACTCAAACCAAAGCAATTGGACCAGGCCCTACCTGTTGCCACCTATAAACACATCACATGTGATAGCAACAAGCAGATGGGAGTATAAATTTAATTTCTGTATAGAAATTAAAAAAAAAAAAAAGATGCCTGCTTCACAGGTATGCATCTGCTGTGCTTGTCGTCTAGCTAGACAAGGCAATTCTTCCAAGGCCACCCCCTTAATTTGTTCAAAAACCCGCCCCATGGTTGGAACCTGTCGCTTTCCTAGCATTCTTTCTCTTTCCCATGTGAGCTTAGGGGGGTTGATACAAGAAATATCCTGGATGAGAACCAATAGAAGCTAAATGTTGGAACTGACAGTATAAAGGCAATCCGGTAACTAACCATTTTTATGAACATGGTGACAACATAGACATAGGCACATTAAAACGACTTTATGCTATTCAATGCAAAATTAAACCTAAGGCCTCCAATTCATATCACCAACTAGGAAAAGAGAGCAAAAAGAAGAGGAAGGAAAGCATTCTTCTTTTTGAAGGAGGAAAGAAGAAAATTCAGTAACATCACAGACAGTGAACAGGAAATGTGAAAAAAAAGAAAGGAAGAAAGAAAGAAAGAAAGAAAGGAAGAAGAGACAATACATTTAAAAAGAAAGGAAACATTAAAAAGTCACATCTATGTTGCCTTGGGGTATTAGTCTTTAAACATTGCAACATGTTCCAAAATCCAGATGCATTAACAAGCACAGAAACATACTTACATGGTATTTTGGCTCACTCTGAAAGGCATAATTATAGATGTAGAACTGTACAAGGTTAAAGACAAATTTCTATTGAGGCTATAAAATTGGTTCAGCTTACCAAATAACTCAGCCCTGCGAGACCAGAAAAACCATGATTAACTCCCCCATTACCTAACCTAAGTCCAATGCAGATCACTTATAGAAAACAAACTGAGAAACCCTAAGTCCAGGTTGATATGCTTCTCAGGATGCAGCAAAAAGTTGCATCATCCTCTGCTAAGTTAAGCTCGCTTGCAGAACCAGACCATTTTCCTTTTCATTTCTCAACAAATGAAAGCAAATACAAAATTTATTAGTCAAAATTTCCAATTGAACAACAAAATCAAGTAAAACATTAATATGTTCTTTAGCTTCAGATCCTGAAAAATGGGAAAAAAGAAAACCTGAGCTGCAGATCTTTGCTTTGCACTCCATGTCTCCTGCAAAATAATAAGCAATCTCTTCTATTTGATGAGCCAATGCAGAACCTTGAAAGGGAGACGCACAAGCATAACAAGATCTTCGCATATACAGTTGTTCATTTATTTGGAAAATCTATTATTTCTGAAGAGGTACATATAATTTCTGGAACTTTATATTGAACTTACCAATTTATCCTAATTTTAAGAAATGTATAACAAGAACAGAAAGCAAAAAAGAGACAAGAAAAAAAAAAAAGGTTGTAACAATCAATGATAAGTTTCAATCCACAAATTCAAAAAGCAATAATGCAACGAAAGATAACATGCTGATTGATAACAACATACTTTTTTATTTTATATATTAATATTGTCAAATTAGCAGAATAACCAAGCTTATAAGTTTAAGCATAGAAATACATTGGAAGAATTAGCCAGGCATTTATGGCTTTATATTTTGCAAGTCTATTTCATAACTTGGCCTTGTTTGAAATCATTGTAAATAGCTATTACATATTTCAGACTAGGATGTTTCAAGTGTTAAACAACAACTGGGTAGCAGAAAATTACACGACATACTTGCTAAGTGGTCAAATAATTCCAGTAGCCCTCAACAATCAGTGGTCAACATTCTTTTGCATCTCAAGGCTTAGTTCTATTTTATGATTCTAACCAAGGTTTTCACTGTTGAATTTATCAGTTGTTGCAGAAGGGCTCGAGAATGGATATAAACATGATGTTAATTTACACCCTCTGTTTCATATATAAAAATTTGGGACTTAAACATTACTTGTTAGACAGTAGTAATGTACCAGGTCAATGAACGAAAAAAACCATTGCCAACTATCATTTTTGGTAAAGTGACCAACAGCTTAATGACCAAACTTTTGGGTCTTCTCCACAGGCTAAATATCAGTGTGAGCATAGCCATTTATATAATAAACATTAATGAGACTGATTGTTGATGAGTTATTTGACCATGGTTTGAGGATATCTGGATATTAATATCTGAATCATAAGAAGCAAAGCAGAATCTAATCCATCATTTCCAATAGACATCTCTTCCACAAAAATTTTAAATAAAACAAAATTGTTTTCAGATTCATATATTAAAAGTATCTGAAGAATCATATAACCAACAAATTACAGTATAAGCACTAAGAAAGTAGCACTTATCAGCTCAAAGTTTGATAGCCCAAAGGCCCTTGCAAACCATCCTGTCTTATATCACTCCTTCCCATTAAGGAAGGCATCCATGGGAAAAGTTTCCCAAGCTCCTTGCCTATTGTACTAGGCTGCCTATCATTAATCCCAAATTTAGCTCTCTCAACAGCTTCCATTATATCTTCCCTTGTAACGGTTTCACCACCTAGAGAAAAAAGCATAGTGAGGCAAAATGTTCATCTCAGTCGTCTGCAAAGTATAAGTTTATGGCAGAATCATAATTATTATCCGCCCCCCTCAAAAAAAAGGTAAAAGAAGAAAAGGCCTGTGCACGCTGGGAGGGGGGGGGGAATGTTGTCAAACTGGACTGGACTGGATCAACCGGGAACTGGTCATTTTTCCGGTCTGAGACACCTTAGAGTTGGAAGAGAATTGGAAGGAGTAGTTGAACCAGTCAACTTTTCAGTTAAACTGGTTTTTAGGTAATTAAATCAGTTGAACTGAAGACCTCTGCCACTAACATTTAAGCCATAACCACTGAGCCAATTACATGTTTAGTTACATTATCACCTTATTTAATACTTATAACGTAAAGTCAACAACAATAAATGTTTTAATCAGACAGGCAGGCTGAATCAGTTGGACCGGGAACCGGGCCCCTTACCAGTTCAACAACCAGCCTGGTTATTAAAACATTGGGGGAGGGGGGAGGTCTGCTTTTATAATGCTCAAAAAAAAAAAAAAAAAGGAGCAATGGTCAAATGTGAAAGTAAAACTAGTGGTAGAGACAATGCAATCTGAAATCAGATGGAGCTATATATCAGCTTCTCACCTCTACGAGCAGCAAGTAATGCGGCTTCATTGACAATGTTTGCAAGATCAGCACCTACAAAACCTGGGGTCAGTGAAGCAACTAACATAGAAATAAGTTGTGTGTCTTCTTCTAGAGGAACTCCTCTCAAATGTAAAGCCAAAATCTTTCTCCGTCCTTCCTCATTTGGTTCCCCCACTAATACTTTTCTTGAGAAGCGACCAGGGCGACAGAGGGCTGGATCCAATGCTTCTGGCCTATTAGTTGCCCCAATAACAACCACTTTCATGTCCGACTCAAATCCATCCATTTCAGTCAGTAACTGCAGCAGCAAAAGAGATTTTAAAAGCCCATTAATAGCAGGAGAGAATCCAAATTTTCAGGATTTTATGTAAAATTGTATTAAAAGTTTAAAAAAGAAACAAGAAAGAAACTTAAAAAACATGCAGGATTTATTCCTTTGGATTAAATAAGATTGATAGAACAAAATTAAAAAAAGATAGTTTGTTTCTAAAGGGCAATATTTACACAAAAGTGATAAAAATGTTTATTAAAGTCCCAATTGATTAGAATATTAATGAATTTAATAATAGAAGTGGAAAGAACATAAGCAATGCAACTAGGGTTGAATGTTAAATTGCCTGGTTCAATGTTTGGTCTCGTTCATCATTGAAACTTCTACCACGCTTCCCTCCAACTGCGTCAAGCTCATCAATAAATATTATCGATGGTGCAGATTTCCTTGCCACATTGAAAAGATCTCTGATTCGAGCTGCTCCTCTACCAACAAATAATTCCACAAATTCACTTGCTGATACACTGAAGAAAGGAACTCCTGCTTCTCCAGCAACTGCGCGAGCCAGCAATGTCTTCCCTGTTCCTGGGGGACCCACTAGCAACACACCTCTAGGTAATTTTGCTCCCAGTTTTTGGTAGTTTACAGATCCCTGAAGGCATGAAACTATCTACAAAAAGAATTTGTGTCAACAGAGATAGCCAGCAGAAAATTACTTAATTACTCATGAGAGATTCAGTAAACCTAGTTTGCAATAATAACTATAACAAGCACCATCTCTACTAAGGCAACAAACAAAAGCCTCCGACCAAATAGTACTTGCACTACAAAAAGCTAAATGATCCAAAGATATCTGCATAAGTTTTTTTTTTATCACTCTGTTTCCACACAGATCTAGAAGCTTCCATGATAATATACTACTACAAACAAGAGTGAGCCACAGAAGGACACCCTGTCAGCAAAAGCCTGCTACACGACCTATGGAACTTGTTAAACCAAATAATTTGATTTTATGCTACCCAAAAGCAACACGTTTAGGGCCTCAATATTATTATCAATATCATCAAAGAATTCTCAAATACCTTCTATAGAGTCATGTTAGATATAATACAAAGAGAGTAATCAATCACCGACATCATTGACAGTCCTAAAAGAAATCACGAATGAGAAACGCCATTGCAGCCTAGCAGCTTTTCTACCTTCTGTATACTATATTATACTCAGAACCAATTTGAACGAATTCTAGAAAAGAAGCAAAATTACCTCCTCATCATTAATTCCATAATGTGGCCAGCACAAGAATGCCTTGACATTAACTATTAAAAAATATATATTCATTTTACGCAACTTTAAGAGAAGTGCTTAGTGCTTACCTCCATAAGCTCTGCCTTAGCAGTATCAACTCCCTCCACATCGTCAAACCCAACAACCTGGTTATTTGGACGCTGCTTCCTTGCAGGGCTATTAGCAGCAGAGAGTTGACGATACAGCAGCCACATCAAAGGCATTAAAGGAACCCACAAGGATATTATCATTATTAAAGTACTCCTCATTGACATTAGAACTGATTGAGGAGCTGAGCTATAAGTTGTTCCCTTTTCTCTCATCAAACTAAGAAGAAACTTTTCATCATGATCAATTTTTCTTGTCAAATACTGCCACTCAGAAGTAGAAGTTTGAGGTCTCGAAAATTTCTTGAATAGACCTTGTTTTTGCAATTGTCTACCATCCACACCATCCTCTCTTACAGCCGTACCAGCTTGGATTTCAGTTGAATCGGTCCCTGCCAATGATTCTTCTTCCAATTGAGTATTTTCAGCACTTTTAGAATCCATATTGAAATATATACGACGAGAACCCTCTTCAAGCAAAACCTTTGTCACAGAACTACTGTGAAGGCTTGTTATGAACTCTGAATATGGAACAATCTTAGGAGATGGCAATGCAGTGAATTTCAAGAACAAATAGCACATTCCCAATGCTAGAGATATTGTACTGTAAAGAGTAACTCTTCTTATATTCTTTCGTAGAAACACAGCAATATCATATAACATCGATCTAACTGAAATCCTCTTCATTCTTATTGTTAATAACCGCAGCCTGGGACACAATCTTAACGAAAATCTCTTTCTCACATCACTACTTTCTCTTTTTCCTACTTGGGTTTTGTTATCACCACTATTTGCCCTCACCAATAACCCATTATGTGTCTTGCAACAAGCTTGAAAACCAAATAAAGGAACCTCATTTCTTCTTCCATTACTAACCAACCTAAAGCTATTATCACCAGAAGCAAACAAATTCTGGGTTTTGCAATGGTTATAGCTACATATTCCAAGTGAAGGAAAGTAGAATGAAGCATATGAAAAGCTAGTATATCTCCTAATAGACTTGGGTTTTGCCCTATCAGTTACCAAGTTTTCATTACTAACAAAAAACCCACTATTGCAAACAACACTAAAACTAGCCATGTCTCTTGTACATCAACAACAACAAATTGGGAAGAGAGAAAACCAACTAAAGCTACATAGAAACCAGAAATTTGGTACCTTTAAGCCAACAGAGGGTTTTTTATTTCTTACCTGAGCAATGGAATGAATGGTGAGAGCTTTCTCTCTTTTTTTTTTCTTAAAATTTATTTTATATATTTTCTATGCTGGCATTAAATTCTTTTGCAAAAGATCTAACGGCCTTAAAGCAATGGACGAATTGATCAGGTACTTGTGCTGCACGAATGTGTGGCCTCAAAACTTGCGGCGGACCGAGGGCTAAGGCTTTTGTTTTTAATTTTGGATTGCATACCAAATATGTTTTATGGCATGGGTTCAAATAAATAGTTTAAATTATTCAAAATAATTATAGTCTATTTTAGTTTTTTTATTTTTTTTAAATTTTAATTAAATTAAATTAAAAATTATTTTTTCATCATCAATTTTTAATTGTAAAATTTATTTAATTAAAAAAATAAAACTAAAAAACTAAAAAAGGAAAAAAATTTAAAAACAAAAAAAAAGTTAGGATACCAACACCCATTGAATTTAAAATATTAATTTTTTTAAATTAAAATATTAAATAATAATTTATTAATATAAAATATGTAAAATTAATTTAATAATAAAATATATACTTTTATATATAATACGAGAAGACTTTGAGCAATGTATCCAAAATTCACACTCGCTTATGTTTCGTTTTCCTAAAAAACCAATTGGATTCATTTCAATATCAATTTTTACAAAAGCACGCATATCAAATTAGGATAAATCAAAATTCATCGAATATTAATTATTTTATCTTCTTTATCAATTGTCTTATTCTGTTATAAATTTTATATAATTAAAAAAGGAAAAAAAATACTACATGAATACCTTCATTGACATTATTTTTTTAAAAAATTTTATCTAATTAAAAAAACAAAGAAAGCAAAAAAACCAAAAAAAGGAACAAAGAAAAAAATATTTTTAATCAATAATATCGAATAAGTCTAATGATAACTTTTTAAAAAAATTATTTATTAAATATGAAGAGAAAAAAAAAGAACAAAAAATAAGAAAAAAAATAAAAAGAAATGAAAGTTAAAAAAAAAAAGAAAAAAAAAAGAATGAGTTAAGGGAGTGATATGTGAATACAAAAAAATGCAAATTTTATATTATAGATAGTATAATATCTACTTTTATATATATATCACGAGGTGGATTGGGTCAAAACTCTTGAGCTTATTGTTAATCCAACTTTACTTATTTAAAAAAAAAAAAAAAACTCATTTAACCCTAATTCTATTTCAATAAAAAAAATATATCTTTATTGAATCAATCGGATTGAAATCCATTGAATATGGATTTTTTTTATCTTTATCCATCAACTTTTTTTGTAGAAAAATTTACGTAATTAAAAAAACCAAAATGACAAAAGAAAAAAGGAAAAATAAAATTTTAATATAATACCTATATAATTAATTAATTAATTGAAATATATATTTATATATACCTGAAGCAAGTGAAATACCCTAAACTCACATTCAATTGAATTTCAATTTAAAAAAAAAAAAAAAAACTTGATCTAGTCTCAAATTAAAAAAAAAAAAAGGGGGAAAACTATTGAATTAAAATGATTTGAAATGTATCCAATACAAATTGTTTTGTCACTCATACCTCAACTAACTTTTATTGTAAAAAAATTTATATCGATTTTTTTTGTTGTAATATTTATTTAATTTAAAAAAAAAAAGACAAAAGAAAAAAAATGAAATAAGATGACACATGGACATTTTTGTTACTTTTTGTTGAATAACTTGATATAATTAAAAAGAATGAAAGGAAGAAAAACAACAAAAAAAAAAACAAAACAAAAGATGGAAACTAAAATTAAAAAAAAAAAAAAAAATTGAATTGTCACATGATATTAGTAATGATGTGATGTTCTTACATATTTTATATCATTCATTTTTTAAAAAAAATAAAAACTTAAAGAAAAAAGAAAAGGTTGAAAAAAATAAATCTGAATCACGCAGATACCTTTGTTAATATCATTTTATTACAAAATTATCTAATTTAAAAAAAATGTAAAAATATATATTTTTAATCAATAATATCAAATGAATTTCAAATTTTTTAAAAATATTTATTAAATATAAAAAAAGAAGCAAAGAGAAAAAAATTAAGAAAGAAAAACAAAAACATAACAAAAAATAAAAGACTTGACATATAATATCAAATGGACCTTACAAAAGAAAATTTTTTAAATACAAAAAATATTAAATATAAAAAAGATAAATAAAGAAAAAAAGAAAAAAGAAAAAAACAAATAAAAAAGAGGGTTGACATGGAACACCTAAAGAGTTTTACATAAAAAAAATTTTAAATGAGTTTTTCAAGCAATTCCTCTACTTTTGTCGTTATTTTTACTTTTGAATCCATGATTTTGCTATTTATCTTCTCATTTTTTATTTGTTTCTTTGTCTCCTTAAATTTGAAATCTCACATTTCGATTTTTATTGTGAATCAAAATCCATATTTTTCTCAAAATCTGTAAGTCTATAACCGAGTTATTGTTGGATTTTCATTTTTTTTATTAGCTTTCGTTCCTTGGCTTTTTTGAAGTTTTTCTTATTGGCTATCGATAATCTTAGCTCACTTTAATCTCAATCTCATCCTCTATTAATTATTAGCTATTATTTCTTTACATGTTACTTGTTTTTTTGTTATTTCTTTAATAAATTTTTTTGGGTGTTTGGAGGCTAAGAAAATGTGAGAAAATGAAAGAAAAATGATTAAATGATTTTGGAAAGAAAGATAATATTTTTTGTTTTTTTAGTTGTTATTTTTATGGGTTTGGCTTTGGTTTTTAAAGATTGAATTTTTAGTAGGATTGATTATGTAATATAATTTCATTTTTGGATTTAGAGTTTTTGATATTATTTTTTAGTGTTTGGATGTTGAAAAAATATGATGGGTTAAGTTTGGAAGAAAGATAATATCTTAGGTTTTTGATTTGGTTATTTTTTAGGGGGACTGAATGCTAAGAGACTGTGAAAAAAATGAAAGAAAATTGATGGGTTAAGTTTGTAAAGGAAAATAATATTTTGATTTTTTAAGTGTTTTTTTTTTAGGTTTGAGTTGTTGGTTATTATTGTGGGGGTATTTAGTTTACGAAATTTTAAATTTCAAAAAAAAGTGTGAATTCTTGATAAAGGATAATTTTTCATGGCATGATATTCTTAGATTCATGTGTTTGGTTAGAAGAAAATTAAATTACTTAATCATGTATTTTTATTATAATGTCATTTATTACGTAATATACATAACAATTTCTTAAAAAAATGATAATTAATGCATTTTAAATCTTAAAAATGCAATATTCGAGTGCCCAATTAAAAAAATTAGTAATCAATTACTGCATTAAGTTCATTCAAGAAAAAAAAATCCACAATTATTGCATTTTAACCTTTAAAAATGCAACATCTGAGTGAGATATCAAAAAATTTTAAAACCAATTACTACATTTCTATTGTAAAAAAGGCAGTTAAATACATTGACCCACCACTTCTACATCATTTACCAAACTGTCTTTATTCATTTCCATTGGCCGACCACTTTTTTTAATCTCTTCAACTCAGATTTTTCTTCACTATCATCATTATCAAAAAAGAATCTGACCAAATTTAAGTCAATCTCAAACCCTCTATTTTTCAAAAGGGTTTAGGTTTTAATTTTTATGATAAATAAACTAGTGGGTGCGTTTTGGTTCCTCTAAAATTCAATTCCTGGGTATTTTTCTTCCCTTAATTTTCTTAACGAAAATTTGATCTTTTTTTAAAGGTGGATCACTAGGCTAAAAAGGTGATGGAATATATAAAGCTATTTAAGCAAGGTTGGAAATGGTTATAATATCATAAATATATTTATTCAAAGGTAAAAATAACTGTTGGCTATTGTAGAGATAAAATAGGTTCGTTAGTGGATAGGCATTGGCCCATGATTTATAATGGATGTGTTAATTTTTGAAACTTTTCAAAGTTGTTTTTAGTTTATTGGAAAGATTGTCTTGTAAGAGGGTTTCAATCATCTATCAGATTGGGTTCAGCTTCATTGCTTATTATAATATGGATCTATTTCCTTAGCTTAACTTCCATGTCTTGCTTGCTTTATGTGCTTTTAAGTATGGAACATGATCTTCCATAGTGTACGTTACTAAAGCAAGAATCTCTTATCTGATTATTGTAGTACAAAGAAGCTATTTTTAGAGTCAAACGAAATAACCAGACTGCTTTTTCATTTCATGATAGTAGACAATTACTATGTTTTGAGTGGAAAATTAAAAAAAAAGAAAGTAAACTTAAATACTACATTTTACAACTTAGAAACGTAGTATTCGAATATGAAATTAAAAAAAAAAAACTCAAAAGTTACATTTCTATTAAAAAAATCTCAACAAATAATCATAATTACTATGAATCAAAGCTTATAAATACAATATTCATTGGTTAAATATAAAAAAAAGTCAAATAAAATACATTTTTATTCAAACAGATAAAATAGAATGAAAATATTTTTATTCAAGTTAAAAGTGAGGCAAAAATAACTTTCCTCTTGAAATCTTAAAAAAAAATTGTAGGAAGAAGTGAGTTTTTAATTTCAATACTTTAAGTATTATTGGAAATCTAAGATTATCCATAGAAATAAAATATCTTAAAACGTGATAATTATATATTCAACAGCAACATTTTGAGAAAAAAATTTAGATTTTTTCTGAATCAAATGCCTTCTGTATTTTATTGAGGAAGAAATTAAGAAAAAGACCTTGTCTTTTAATTTTAGTTGAATGTCAAAAAATAGGATTTTTTTTAGAATTTTAGTTGAACATTAAAAAATTAAAAAATGAGTGATGCAAAAAAATTCAAACTATAACCTAACTTAATTATCTTATTTGATTTTTTATATAGCTAACTTTATAGTATATGACATAAGACTTAATGCGTTATTATTGTTGTTGAAAAATAAAATTTTATTCTTTTATATCTATTTGAGCTTCACATTTTTATCTTTTTAATAAGTTTTATTCTTAAAAGGCATGTGCAACTTATCATTGTTAAAAAGTCATATTTTAAATTAATTTAAATATGTTTAAACTTAAATTAAGTCAAATTAAATATAATATCTGTAATAAAAAAATTCAAACATTAAATTTTAAATTAAACATTTAACCTTATTATATAATCATTTATTTAAAATCCTATGAAAATATATTTCATATTGTTCCTTGGAGGACATATTAACTAATTATAGAAGGTTTTATGTTTTAAATTATATGCAATTGTCATTTGTAAAAAAATAAAATAATAATAATAATAATAATAAACATACATTTAATCAAAATAATATGTACAATTAGTTCACATTCTTACATTTACATCCATAACCATAAAAGTATAAAAACCAAAAATAAATAAATTCATTAATCACTAGGGTGTCATAGTAAAAGTAATTTCCTTTTAATGAATTTTAAAATTTGTCATTTCCTTAAAAATAAATATTTTTTTCAATGTTGAAATCATTAAATATTTATATTTTATTGTCTCAATTTGTAATTCTCCTCAACCTATCACAAAAATTTGGTTTGGGTGTGCCCAACCAATCACCCCCTGGTTGTGTGCCCTCACCCTTTGCTGTAGAAGAGTGTTTCATCAAAAACGACATCGTCTTCAGGAATTTTTCACCTTCGATACGACTGGTATTTCTCCATTCTACTACATCCTTCATCTTCTTCAACCTTCAAGAATTCAACAAATTAACAGGTGAGTGATACTGATTCTTGAATCTAAATATAGAATTCAACATCCTTACTTCTTTGTTGTTTAGTTTTGTTATATGATTGTGGCTGCCAACTGAGCATTTTCTTAATTGTGGAGGGATTTGGTTGATTTTTGTGTTGGCTTTATGATTATCTGATTTGGAAAAAAATTTAGGCAAAAAATCCGTGTGCAGTGTTTTTGACTCTGTCCAATTTGGGTTTTTCTTTTTTTGCTCTCGTGTCCGTGTCACGGTGTCGGACACTGATACAACACCGGTACGAATGGGGGCGTTTCCATATTTAGGGGTGTAAATGATATATATATCAATTCAAGTTCAAGCTCGAGTTCGAACACACAATCTAGCTTGAAATCAAGCATGAGAATCGGGCTTATTTTTCTTAAATGACTCTAATCCAGCAAGCTCAAGTAGTTCGATTTTTATTTCGGATTGAGCTTGAACTTGAAAATTAAAACTTAATTAAGTTCGAGCTGAGTTTGGAGTAACAAACTTCAAGTCAAGCTTGAGCTTCTTACTGTATCGATCTGGCTCAGCTCGATTACACCCCTATCCATGCTTTATAGGTTGTAGTGGTAGAGCGAGAACAAAGTAAAAATAAGAGATGGAATTTCCATGACTTGGCTTATGGAAATAATTGATAATATACTGCTAAGTTACTTTCCTAATACCTAATTAGCTACGGAGGACATGTTTACTTGGACCAAATGACTTCTTCTTGATGAACAACTTGTTAATTGTGATATTATCCCTTTATTTCCGAAAAAGATGGACTTTATCTAGCCAAGCTATTGATGTCAGGGCTAATTAGATTTGAATCTTTTTGCTAGGCTCTTTTGAATCTGCTTGTGCTGATTGTCATCTTTTTTTGCTGCATGCAACTCCCAGACTTTGTATGACTGCAATAACTTTGATTTGTGCCGAGGAACCTACCCCATCTTCTATAGTTTAGCTTGTGGAATATAAAGTTTGGAAGATAGCTGGATTTAGTGGTAATTATAAAGGACTTATTTAAATTGCACAAGAGGTTGACTGCTAGACTATTGAGGTGCAGTGACTTTGACATGGAAACCAGCAAGTAGAAAAGCAATTCCTATTGCTGTTAACCATGTTAGCCACTTATGTTGTAGATAAGGGTCCTTTCATTGTCAGTTAGCGAGCTTGATGTTCCCTTTATGGTCATTCATATGATTATTTATATGATTGAGTTGTTTGGTGAATGACTGCTGTGGATAAACTTTATGTCTAATTGTGATGAGATAATGCACTTTCAACTTGAAGTTGCATGCAAAGGACTAGCATATTATAAAGGAGAAGTCACTTTGATAATAAGTATCGATATGCTTTGAGGTGTTCTGCATATTCCTTAATCTTTTTGTTTCAACTTGGAGTTGCATGCAAAGGACTAACATATTATAAAGGAGAAATCATTTTGATAATAAGTGTCGATATGCTTTGAAATGTTCTACATATTCCGTAATCTTTTTGTCATTGAGTTCAAATTCAACTGCAGGTTCTGTTGTATTTATTGTTCCCTGACTATGTTGTGTTGGATGTATGGAAAAAAGTCCCAAAGTGGTGCATCAATATCCAATTGTTACACACATCACATGATGCATGTGTAGTTTTTAAGTTGCTTTTTTAAAATTAAATCACAGTGGAGAATCTGCAGTGCTCTTATAAGTTGTTTTTTGTTGCAGAAGTCATACAGTAGCCACTGAAAATGGGAAGCAAGGGTCGAATTCCACCTCCTCATTTGAGGCGCCCTCTCCCTGGTCCTGGCATGGTACATCCTGAACCATTTGGTCCAGGAATTTTACCCCACCCAGGTCCTTTTCCACCTTATGATATGTTGCCCCCTCCAGAAATCATGGAACAAAAGCTTGCTGCGCAGCATGTGGAGATGCAGAGACTTGGTACAGAAAACCAGAGGCTTGCTGCTACCCATGGGATATTGAGACAGGAACTTGCTGCTGCACAGCATGAGTTGCAGATATTGCACGCTCAGATTGGAGTCATAACATCTGAAAGAGAACAACAAATGAGGAGCCTTACGGATAAAATAGCTAAGATTGAAGCCGAACTGCAAGCATCTGAGCCTGTTAAAGTAGAGTTGCAGCAGGCACATGCTGAAGCTCAGAATTTGGTTTTAGCAAGGGAAGAACTTATGTCCAAAGTGAATCAATTAAATGAAGATCTTCGGAGAGCCCATGTAGATGTGCAACAGATACCTGCTTTGATGTCTGAACTTGAGAGCCTCAGACAGGAATATCAGCATTGCAGGTTTTCGCTGTGCTCTTGTCTATGGGTGTTTTGGGAGCAAAGTTGAGAAAGATTAAAATAAAGCGGCTGGTATTGAACAGGAAATTAATATTAAAACTCGTTTTTCTGTTGTTTGGAAGTCCACTGTAGAGTTTTGTTCTCCGAAAAGTTTTTTCATTCTTCATCTTTTTCCTCTCTGAGCATGCTGGTCATTCAGCTAAAGTTCTCTAAGGTCTTTCTTTTTAGATTTGTTTCAAAAAGTTCCATGCTACACGATCATGTGATGGCGTATTCTTGATCATGCAGGGCTACATTTGACTATGAAAAGAAATTTTACAATGATCACCTTGAATCACTTCAGGTGATGGAGAAAAATTATATGACTATGGCTAGGGAAGTGGAAAAGCTTAGAGCAGAGCTGATGAATGCTGCTAATGTTGACAGAAGAAATGGTATCCTATCTTCTGATCTTTTCTTTTCTCAGCTCTTTGATTTTGGTTTTTGGTTTTTGCCTTTTTTCTTCATTAACTGTTTAGATGGCTAACATGTGGCAACCTAATGCAGTTGGGCAATATGGTGGTGCCACCGGAAACAATGAGAATGACCCGTCTGGATATCCTGTGGGACAAAATGCATATGAAGATGGTTATGGTATTAACCAGGTGTGTAAGTTTCCATGATGGTTATAGTTCCATGTCATACATTATCCACAGATAGGGTTTGAGAAACATATAGAAAGAGTAAATGGAAGTCATGTTAAACCTTTTTCTAAGAAATATAAATCATATAATATTCTGCAAGACTCAGGATAATTTACATATGATTAAAGTTAATTGAAAATTAGCCATGTTGAAGATAACATGCTTTCCTTATATGTTGCATATGGTAAGTGTTATTGAAAAGTCATAGTCATGTTAAAGACACTATGCATTTTGAATATGGTTATCATTAACCAAGATCAAGTTAAAGTTTGAGGTTTTGTTTTTTTATTATATTTCTATCCAAACCAATCCTGGAAGTGTTTATATGGTTGCTGCGTAAATGTCTGCTGAAACATGAATAGGTTGTGGGTATGTAATCAATTGCTATTATGAATTTCTGCACATGGAAAAAAAGCCAGAAAATTTTGCTATTTAACTACAAAAATTACCATTTTTTTAGGATAAATTACATTCTTTCAAAGTTAATGCTTATTGTTAGATAAACGTGGATTAAGTAGCTGTTTGAAGTATGAAACGGTATATAGACAAACTGCAGTGGAGTTCTTCTCACTCCTCTGCCTCCTTTGTAATATGTGGTTGCTAATTTCAATGCATCGGTGATTCAATGTAATGATGGCTGTATTTTGTCTGCTAATTTTATGTCGTAGATTAATGACATTCTGCTCATTTCACGTCACAGAGATATGGTCCTCTACCATCTGCTGTTACTGGTACAAATGCAGGTGCGAGTGCTGCCGTTTATGGTGGAGCTCAGTCTGGACCTGCCCCTACAAGGACTGGCTATGAGGCATCCAGAGGACCTGCTTATGACATATCAAAAGGACCTGGTTATGATGTGTCAAGAGGGACTGGTTACGAATCACAAAGGGTTCCTAGTTATGATGCACAGAGAGGGTCTAGTTATGATGGTCAAAGAGCCCACGCCTATGATGCACAAAGGGGAGCTGGTTATGACACTCAAAGAGGATCTGTAAACGACGCATCCAGGGGTGCAACCTATGATGCACCAGCTAGAAGTCTTGCACATGGACCAGCTGCACCTTTGAACAATGGACCTTATGGATCTGCAACACCACCTGCTCGTGCTGGAAGCACATACGAGGCAAACCCTCGAGGTAGAAATCCTGTTAGGAGATGAGCATTACACCAGACTGCTATGCATATCATTCAACATTTTCATAGAGATGGTATCAACTCATGAATCTCATGAAACAATTTTCTTTGCTCCCAAATCATCCGTTATTGTGTTGAGCAAAGATGCTACTAGATTTTTTTTTCTCTGTTGAATCTGAATGGTAGAGGCTGCTGACCGTCTACCAAGCTTAACAGAGTCTTGTGAGACTTGGAACTAGTTTTATTTGGGAGCTATCACATTCATGAAAAATTTATGTTGAGTGGCGGATTTTTATATAATTTTTTATTATAATTGGTTAATTGCGGGATTATGATAAAGAGAATTATAAGTTAAATGCTCTCGTTTTATCCGGTTTCAAATTAGGTTATAGCTTTTTTCCATTCTCACATAAAATTTATAGAATTAAAAATGTGAAAATTTTTTTTCTCAACATATCACTTACTATTAAAATAAAATCTCTCCAAATAGTAATTCGGAGATTAATTTTGCTACAAAAAATCTAACCATATTTAAAAGTTAAAACCTATATATATATATATATATATATATATATATAATTCCTCCATTCTACTGCATCAATTTTGTTAAGGGCTAAGGAGTAATAGGATTGTCAATTGCTTGCTTATTTCTTGAATAATTCTCGAAATTGATTTAATAATTATTCTCGGTTTTATATTGCGAATAATCAATTTAATAAAATGAAGAAATTTGATTACATAACGTTAAATAACCATAGAAGCAAATATTCCAACAAATAATTTATTAGATATAAAATAATTTCATATATAAAAAAATCAAAAGAAGCCGAAATTTGATTGACTGGTTGGGGCCCTACCACGTATCTGCTGGGCCTACCTCAGACCCATAATTTTTGTTCTGCTTGGAATTTGTCTTGTACATGAAACCTCCTTGGAAAGATGTTGGGTTCTTATACCGTCATTTGTTTAAGCTTTGGTCCGTTGATGAGATTTATTTTGATAAAATTAAAAATAATAATAAAGATAAAATTAATTATTATTAATAATGTGATTAAAAAAAGTAGAATATATGTTTGAATATAAAAATAATGATGGTAATGAAGTAAATTATAATGAAAAGAAAAAATGATTATTAAAAATATTAGATTAAAATAAATATAATAAAATTTTAAATTAAAACTTATAAATTTTATTTATTATATAAAATTTGTTAATAAATAGCAAATGTTATTTAAATTATTTATTAATGTATGATATGATAAAATTTATTTATATAGTATTAAATTAATAAAATTATTTCATAACTTTTAAATAAAAAATCAATATGAAAAAAATTATAGAAATATTTTTTGTATAATAATATAATTTACAAAATAAAAGTAAAATAATAAAAACATTGGCCCATCACCAACTTGACAAGAAATGACCGATTAATAGTTGATCTTTTATTCATTTGCACTAGAGAATCATTTAAGTGCAATATCTACGATTGACGCATCTGATTCTTCATTTTCTAAATGCTAAAACTGGATCAGGAAATAAAAAAATTAATCTGATACATTATTATTAAAAGTTTTAGACTTCATGAACGAGGATAGGGGTAGGGATGCAAATAATATATTAGTTTTCATAAATTATTTGAGTTTGATTCGAATAAAATTTGAATTCGATTTAATTATTATCGAATTGAGTTTGAGTAACTTGATTTATTAATCGAGTCAAATTTAAATATTTTTATATCCAATTCGAATAGTTCACTAACCTAATCGAGCTTTTATATTTTAATATATTTTAATTATTTTAATTTATAAAAATATCTCAAACTCAAGTTCGAGTTCGATTATAAATAATTGAGTTTTTGTTGAATATAAGAATCGAATTTATTTTTACATGTTAATCAAATTTCATCAAGTGAATTCGAATAGCTCAATTTTTATCTCGAGTTGAACTTGAATTAAAAAAATAAAACTCGATTGAATTTAAATCGAATTTCGAGTCTTAATTTTAAAATTAAGTTTAAATATTGTATCGATTCGAACTCGATCTACTACACCTCTAATTAAGGATTCGACATACCTCTTTAAATTAATTAAAAATAATCAATAAACTAATATAATAAAGAAAAAGATACGTGTGTAACAATTTTTTAACAATGTTTGTGTAGATTCAAATTGTATCATCTGCGTATGAAATAATATTTTTGAATAGAATAATATTAAGTTTCTTTCACCTTATTACAAAATATATGTAACGTTGAAAATAAAATGAACAAACTCTGCATGACCTTTGTGTAATAATTTATTTTCATCAATGACTTAAAATTTAAATTTTTTTATTTACGTTTTAAAAATATTTTAAATTTATCTATTTTATCAATTGTTAATAAATATTTAAGGAAATATATCAAATAAATATTCATATGACATAAATTTTAACTCAAAAAAATTAAAGGGATTTATTTATTTATTAATTAATAAATCATTATTGCCTAAAAAAAAGGATGACTTAAATAACTAAATTATAATATCAATCATTGTAGACACCGATTTTATCTGGGTCTATTGTCTTCATTTTAATTTTTTAAGAATAATAATAATAATAATAATAATAATTTTAAAAAATATAATAATAAAAAAAAGAGAAAAAAAAGACAGAAACCAGAGGGCTGGTATGGCACCGTTGCCGCTCGACCAACCCCTATCCAGCCCTTGACCAGCCCCTAGTTCAGCCCAACTACAGCCACCCTACAGCCACCAAAATCCCCATATTTGAAGCTCTTTAAAACCTCCAGCCCCTTTCCCCTTCAGAGGCGTTTCGAAAAAAAAAAGGCCTATTCAATCCACCCCTACGACAAACCCTCGAGCTCAATGAACTACCCCCCTCAAAACACTTTCAAGAGCCCTAGACAGAACCTTCATTCCCATGCATAAAAGACCCAAATTTTAAACTTACACCCAAAATACCCAAACCAAAGAAAATAGAAACAAAAAATAGACAAACACAGTTCTCCCTATAGGGAAGAACCTAAACGTCGAGCTCCCTGCAAAAACAAAAAAAAAAAACAGATCAATTTTAGTCCAAAATAAAAAAAAAGAAAAAAGAAGAAACCGAAACTTTAAACCCCGATCTATGATGATCAGGGTTAATTCTTGCGAAAGTGACATTGAATCTGGAAAGGGAACGAAGAAAGAAAGTTTTCGGATGTTTTTGAAGGTTTTTCGGCATCGATGATCGACGGCCGACGATGACCCATGGCGACTGGCGCGACCGCCGGTGATCGACTTCTGGCAGTCGATGGGCCTTCTGTTTTTTGGGTTAAAAGAAAAAAAAGTTTTTTTTTCTAAAGTAGGTGAAGAATGAACAATATTTTTTTTTTTGAGTTATATATAAAAGACTAAAGAGCAAAACGATATCGTTTTAGGCTAAGGAAGATCAACGCGTTTACTCGGATTTGACCCCAGGATCTGCGCAACCTGACTCGTGAACCCATTCTTTTAATAGCTGCTGACCAGTCCAATTAAACCGATTTGAACCAGATCGAACCGTAGATTGCTAGCTCGAACCGTTGATTGAATCGCAGAACCGATCAGACCGGTCCAGACCAACGTTGATCGGACCGTTGACCGGTCCGGTTTAGGTAAAAAATTTTTTTTTTTGAATTTTTTATATATTATTATTATTTTTTATTTTAAGTATTTTTTTTATTGATGCATGATAAATTCTTAAATTTGTTAGAATAAATATTTAATTATTTTAATAATAATAAAATTGAAAACAAGTAATAATTAAAAATATATATTAAAATTGCTCAAAATAATAATAATAATTTTTATTATTTTTTCTGCCTAGATGTTGGAAGGAATAAAAAAATATTTTCCTAAAGAAATAATTTCGCCTAGATGTTGGAGAATTATTATTAATAAATTTTCATAAAAATAAATATATAAGAAATTTTTAATTAGTTTTAAAAAATCATTAAAATCGAACTTACTTTGAAAATCCACCTAGATGTTGGAGATTTTTAGATATATTCATATTTTCTTAAAAACGAAACCTTAAACACTAATTCTCAATTTTTAAAATCTTAGGTTTCTAAAACCCCTAAAATCCAAAACCCCATAAAATCCAAAATCCTAAAATTCAAAATCCTAAAATTCGAAACCCCTAAAAATTCAAAATCCCTTAAATCCAAACCCTTAAAATCCGAAACCCCCAAAAATCTGAAATTCCAAACCTTTAAACTCTTAAATCCAAATCCATAAAATCCAAACCTTAAACCTTAAATTTTAAAACTGAAACCATAAAATCTTCAAACTCTAAAATCAAAACCCTAAACCTTTCATATCCTAAAATTCAAGCCTTAAAACCTTTTAAACCTTAAAACCAAACCTTCAAAACCTATACTCAAGCCCTTACTCAAAACCTTTTGAAAATCTTAAGGACACGTGTGAAAATCTCAGTAATTCGTTCTCGAATGTCGCCTAGATGATGGGGTATTTAAGAAATTTTACTCCGTTAAGTCTTTGCACACGATTTCTTAATTCGCATTAATAATAAGATTAATAAATAAAAAGTATAACAGTAAATTGGGATCTTAAATATAAACAGTCGCACCTAAGCTCTGCCTAAATGTTGGAGAGTCGGGGTGACCTCATTATGCTTAAGAATCCAACTTTTAAATTGCATATCATCCTACATAACATTCATTGGCATACATACGTTAGCATGTTATTATCAATATTTATTTGCACTATTCTATCTTTAATTTTTATTTACTACTTGGTGATAAAAAAATTTATAATAAAAAAAATAATACTTTTTTTAAAAAAATTATGATATTACAAAATAAAATAAAAATAACATTCCGAAAGAAATAATTCTTAGTACTCTGCCTAGATGTTAGAGAGTCACCAATAATTTTTTATAAAGAGTGTTATTTCATTTTAATGATTGTTGTGTTAAATCTTAAGCGAAAAGAGTTATTTTAAATTTTACTTAAATGTTAGAGAATTTTAAAATAATTCTTTAACTTTAAAATTTTCTCAATATTCCTAAATAAAGAGCTTTAGCAAAATTTTATTTTTGCAAATGAAGGGAATTAGTATTAAATTTCAAATTAAAACTATTTTTATCCAATACTGAAAATAACGCGTAATTAAATGGTACCAATTTATTGGCGTTGTGGGTGTTAATCCTTCCCCACACATAACCAACTCTCGGATCCAACCTGATTTTTATAGACTAAAATTTATCTTTTTAATAAACTTTAAACCCGTTTTTATAGTTTTATTTAAAAAATAAACTTTTTGGTGACCAATCACACCCTAAAAAAGATTG